AATGTTTTTCGATTGTCTGTTTTATGACACTTTTCTTTAAGGCGCGCTAATTTATAATCTATCCGCAAATATCAAAAATTTTAAGTACCTATCAACATTTGAAAAGGTACAAAATATATTTCTGGCACACGGTTATAATAATTTAGTAATGATAGTACTAGTTAGTTTTATTATATTGTATTAAATACTTTATTAAATAATTTAAGAACGACTTGTAAATTGTTCTCGCGTGAGACTTGTGTGTCTTCTAATAATATTTTTTTATAGAGCAGGGGGCAAACAGACATAATGGTCATCTGATGTTAAGAGATACCATGGACACTCAATGCCAGAAGGCTCGCGAGTGCGTAGCCAGCCTTTTAACAATTAAACCATAAAACAGACGGTAAAAAAAACCCGCCTGTAGACATTTTATACATGTATGTATTTTATATACGCTACACTAACGTGAGACTGTGAGCCCCACAGTCGTAAATACAGGCGACGATATGAACTTGTTTTCACTCGAGTACGAACGTAAATCGCATTCGAATTGAGGTTTCAGCTCTTGAAATTTCAAGAACGATTTTATTATAGTGAAAAGTTTTTTTTTTTGTTTACTTTAATATCGAGTTCTTTGAGATGATGTTAAATTTCAAACATTATTCGTATGTGTATAAAATAGGTGTTTACAGTTGAGTAAGCTTGTTTATAATTGCTATTAATGGCACAATTGCGCTACCATTACGCTGCTGTATCAACAATTTTTTTTCAATATGTAATGGCGCAAGTTATTACGTACAAATTTTAAGACTGATTATAGATTGACACTGACAAGTTAAGCAAAATGTAAGAAAACAATTTAATCGATCTACATTTAATTTTAATTTCCTATATAGAATACAATAATAGCCAAATTAGGTACCACTTAGTTAAATGTATTAATTAATTTTTATTTGTTTGTTTCCGTGTGTAAATTTTTTAACCTTTTTGTAGTTAAATGTATTATGTATTCCATCTCTGGCTATATTTTACAGTGTAACTGTTTGATATTATATATAATTTATGTTAACTGTAGGATTACGAAATAAATAAATAGAATACCTCCGAATCCTAATCTTATTGTTTTAAGATTAAAACTCATAGCTCTAACTACTGAGAGACAAAACACTATAGATTAATGTTTTGTGCGAACTAATTATTTATTAATATTGTAAGAAACTGTTCCAACCTACCACACCAAGTAAGCACTTGACACTAAACAAGTACTTTTGTCTATAGGCTATTAATTGTTTTATTCCATATACCATATATCTACGTAGATATTCATGGGCAAAATAACCAAAAGCATTAGTTATCACAAACTTGACCAATATTTCCGATTGTAACTTGCATCATTTCTCATGTCATAGCACCTGCGTTTACTTTCAAACCTTGCTTCATTTTTTTAGATGTGATGAAATATGGCACGATTAACCATTTCCTTCAGTTTTTTCGTGTAGTTTCATATAAATAATATTTCTTTTAAAAAAATCGGTTCATTATACACATATTAATCTATTTCTATTTACCGTGCGGAAGACACTAATAATAGGATAGAGAATGTATGTTATTTTAAATGTTAGAGTTTTGTAATCTAGTTCTGACTAGTGTTTTCTTAATTTTTCTACCTTTAAAAGGTGGGAATGGATTCAGCCAGATATCACTTATTAGCAAACATTAAAGTCAGTTTTGGATCTAAGATATTTGTGATTATTGTATATTTTTGTGTCCTACCCACGTTACGTGTTTGCATGTAAAGTAGTTTATTTATATTAAATAATAATTCATGATAAATGTAGAATGACAATCAATTTTATAATTTCTAAGTGAGTGCTTGTGCGTATTTAAAACTATTTCAAGGCTGAGTATTAGTTACTATATTATATATTACTATATTATATACTGCTCAAAACAATTAGCGGAACAAGATTTTTCTCCTTTCTATTGCTTAAACTAATATTAGATTTAAATTAACTTGTACGCTATTTTTTACCTTGTTAATTTGTTAATTACTACATATAATAAAAAAATTCAATTTGTATTTTTTTTATTAAAAAAAAATTAAAATGTGCATTGTAGACGAAAAACTAATTGGTGATAAAAAAGGTCCATCAAAGAAATATTCTTATATCGTTTGAATATTCGTCTTTAGTGACTTTCAGTAACGTGTGTGGCCTCCATGAGCCCTAATCACGGCTTGACAACGACGCGGCATGCTTCGTATGATCCTCCGAATATCTTCTTGTGGAATTCGCTCCCATTCTTCAATCAACGCTTCAGTGAGCTGCTGCAGTGTTTGAGGTGCAATCGGACGCTTCCGGATGCGCCTGTCCAGCAAGTCCCAAATGTGTTCAATTGGATTTAGGTCAGGGCTCATGGAAGGCCACTCCATTACACGGATTTCCTGCTGTCGTAAGTAATCTGACGTGATGGCTGCAGTATGCGACCTGGTATTATCTTGCATTAAAATAAAATCTGGGCCCATACCATATGCTGCGGGCCAAACATGATCTTCGAGCACATTTTCAATGTAAGTTTGCACACAAGCGCCCGGGAACAACGACGAGATCTGTGCGCTCGTCCAAACTAACTCCGCCCCAAACCATCACAGAGCCACATCCAAATTTGTCATGTTCATGTCCTTTTCTTTATGTTAAGAATATTTCTAGGCGAAGTATGTTTAGGGCTTATTATTTTAAGATAAATTAAGGTTGATTGTGTATCAACGGCCACCGAACAGTTCTTTGTAGTACAGTATGTAACTCTTAGTTCTGATTTGATGTGTTGAGAAATAAAAGCAATTATTTAAAAATATCAGAAACGCTAAAGGTCATAAACCCACTTGTAATGTAGGTCATACACTGGTGTTTGATTTAATTAATAGTCGAATCGATTGTATAGGTGATTGACCTTTTGAATGTGCCTTAGGCATTTTATAAATTCAGTTTCGCATTTATCCTCAATTTAATTGAAGCGAGAATAATAAAAATTCAGTGGTGCTACAATCCTATCTCCTCATTTTCCATCCGTTTATGTGATCGTTTTTATTTCATAGATAAGAAGTGGACAAGGGCAACTGTCAGATTCTGATTCCGTCTTTCGCATGTAGTCGATTGTTGAATCTAACGCCTTTAGTACACCTACGCAATCGCATGCGGCAGCGAAACGACGAAAAAACTTTAAGTTGTATGGCAACGTTTCGCATGTGTTTTGTCTCGCTCTATTATATAGCTAGATGAAATAGTTGCGTCCTTGTCCGTATTGTTTCGCAAGTAACTGCGAAATGGCTGTTACACAGACGCAGCCGTTTCGCTAGCGGAGTTTCGCATCGCAATGCGTCACCACGCGTTCTGTCAGTGAGGACAGAATTTCGCACAATGGAAGCCGAAAATATTGAATTATTATTATTATTATTAGCGTTCGATTCTCGACGAAACGAATTATAAGTCATCAAAAGCAATCAATGCGTGATTAGTAGTATTTAAAGCCTTTGAGTAATAAAAATGACTTCACGTTAGTGAGGGCTACTGTTTTTATAACTAACTAGCTATACCCTGCCACGCTTCCCTGTGGCACATTGTGATTGAATGGTTGAGAAATGAGTAACAAAACAAAGAATACATTTCATATAAGATAATTTTGCCATACTTGTGAAAAGAAAATGATAAAGAAAAATATATAAAAAACAATCCTTGATGCGTATTACATATCATCCTATTATATATAATTTCTGGTGGATAGGTGCAGAAGTTTTTGAGTTTTTTAAGCGTACACAAACCAACGTCGGTTGATATATAAGAATACAAACTTTTTGAATTCAGCTTTATTAATATTAATACAATCACATACCTAGACGGCAAAGTGTGCCATGCGACTCGCAATTTTTCATCAAATATTAAGACGTAACTATAAAAGTGTGGGTTTTATGACTACTGCACACATACTATTTATAAGGTGTATTACACATTTGTGTCAGGATAAAAACCTGGAACAAAACAGTACGATTGTGAAACCCATGTGTCAAGAATTTCCGAAACGTATAAAAAAGTCAGTTAAATTATTATAATTACTTATACCTTACTAAAATAGTACTATCGTCAGGAAATGAAAGTAATAATAATTGACAAAGAAAATCGTCTATATTAGAATAAAAATGTAATTATTTTGATTAAAATTTTATCCCGTTGCAAGCGAATTTCATTCGGCTACCGCAATTCCCAACATTTGGATTTAAGATGCTCTTGTAATTGATTAAAAACCGAACCATTACGGCAAAAATTACTCGCGCTATTTGCCAATGAAATTAAAAATTCAAAGTGCTTCGCCAATTAATTAATGTTTGCTTTTGAGATGGGTTAGCAATTTATTGTTCGATTTTATACTTTAGACAAAAAATTAGTAATGATAACAAATACTCACCTTTTAATCACAACATCTCATCAAATCTCTATTGTCATTAAGAATTAGTTAGTTAATTAATTAGATAAGATTTAGTATAAAATTTTTCTCTATAGATCAAAATTGGGTAGATTAATTAATAGAATCTTTGTATATCTAAAAATTCGCCATTGTGAAAACGAACGAGGCGTAAAATATAATTGTTTCATGTTGCTAGATGAAGAAAGTATAACTTCTCACGAAAAAATGTGTGCACAAGGTCCTCTTAGATTTATATATTTCAATACATATTTTTTTTAATAATTTGTAAAACTCTATTTAATCTGTCTAGATAATGTTTATTTAAAAGTCAATTGGGCGTCTAAAAATATAATTAATATTCGCATATGTAATAAAAACTAAATGACCCACTCTAAAGATTAATTAGTTGACGTAAAGATGAAATCTAGAAACCAAAATAAAATGATCCTATCAACCGCTGGAATTGCAATGTAAATTTAATCCCGACGATTTGTTTAGTCACAAATTCTAGTGTAAACCACGAGCACGTATCTGAGGCATTTTTTAAATTCAATTTGAATATGGAAGAAGATTCCGCTAAGCAAACGAAAAAAGTAAGTGTGTGTGTAAGGCTTTCAAGGAATTTGTGATATTAGTAGACGAAAAGTTGGATCGGTTTCACATTTTTTTTTAAATCACTAAAATCAATTATGGAAAACTGCATATATTTTAATTTGTCGTAATGTGATTATTTTAAATTGAATAAGGTCAATATGAATAACATTGTATTATCTGTGTCTGTCCCAAAATAAATTTCAATAAGCTTTTCTTAATACACAGTGAATTTTTTTTAATTAGTTCTATTTCTCAAAAGTTCATGCACATACACAAGAATCGAAATACATATTTGTATTTTTGTAGTTATGGCAATATTTGCATTAATTAACGTTTAAAGAAATTTCTTTCTCATTACAAAAAGAATGTATTTTACTTACATGAGAAACTTATTATTATATATATACGAACGAGATACACGTCGCCACCAGCCGTCCCAATTTTAGTCTACTAGGTTCAATCTGATATGTGTCTTTAATGCCCTTTTAAATTGATTAAACGCGCTAATATTACGAATTTTAGACGGTAATTGATTAAATAATTGCACACCCTCAGACTTATTAAAATTAAAAGGAGGTATTTAAAAATTATTGTCCCATGTCTTACAATCACGCTTCGTTGTAGAATTAATTGTATCAAATATTTATCCCTATTATTTAATATCATAAATTTCTTCAAGAAAAGCTAAAACTTTTAACTTCCACCAGCTTCGATAAACTTATAAATTGTATGAAATAAACTGCTCAATAACTCAAAGGTTTATCTAAGATGGGATATTTTATACATAGATGAGGTTTAAACGAAGAAATTTCCACAAAATTGCTTTCCTTTTGTAGAAAAGTAAAGAACGCAAAGATAGTCGCGGCCGAAATGAGTCAGACGCTCAGGAAGAAATAAAAAAATTCAAGGAGAATTTACTGCAGTCTGTGGCTGACGGGGGGTAAGTCTGAAAACATTAGATATGCTAGAACTTATTTAAGTGATTTTATAGTCATTTCTAAAGCTTAAAATCGATTTTACCTGAATGTTTATCATACTATTTACCTATGAATTGAAACAAATGATACAATTCTAATCTTGATGAAATTAACCTTTTGTCCTTGAAAAACTATTAATAACCAATCAAGACTTGAACATTTATGAAAACATTACCGCGTTATTAATCAAAATTGTAACTGTATGTGTATTTTTATCATAACGTAAAGAAAAGTTGATAAAAAGAGAGATTAATAATAATCCAGTGACACTACAACCCTATAAGGGTCTGAGCTTCAGATTGCATCCATTTCGTTGATAGTTTTTATTTCATAGATAAGTAGGTGATCCGCCTTCTCTCTGACACATGTCGATTATATAATTCGAGCTAATCTGGCTGTACCGAACAAGCAAGTTTTAGACAGAAAGTCCATTGGTGCACACCCAGTAATTGAACCTTCGACCTCAGGAATGATAGTCGCACACTGAAGCCAATTAAAATTGTAGCTAGACTGGTTTTTGGGTAGATATATCTATATTATAATATTTCCGCAAATCAATGCAGGCAATTGCACGACTCGATAACATTTAGTCCGTTTTTCAACTTAATTATAGTTTTCGAGAATCCAGAATACGTTCAGCCATGGAAGTATGTTATATTCTGAAATTATGAAAATAATTACTCATATCTTAAACGTCGCGTAAACCGTATATCCTTGATAAGAGATCTGATTTTACATTACGATAACATTTTCTAGGATTATTCTTGGCGATAATTCTTTTGAGCTTTCGGTTCCTGAGCCGAGAGCTCGCTCCGGTTCGAAAGCCCGCGAAGCTTTGGAAGTCTCTGCCAATATATTAGCGGAACTGGACGAGAATAAGATCTTCGAACTTAAGGAGGTAACTTATACATTCATATTATAAGTAATGAGTGGCTTTATATTCTTTATTGTCTATTAGAGACAGAAAAAAATGGCCTAATCTCCTTTTTGTAATGTTATTTGTACTCTTAATGCTTTTATAGTTAATGGAGATGGACTGATTCATATTATCTCATGTAAATGAATTACGGTACTTTTTGACTTCAATTCGTGGAAGCGCCCTCAGTTAAACAATGATTTATTATAATTTTAAAATTATAAAAAAAAATGCATGAAGCTTGTAACGTCAAAATATGTTTTTTAAATGTAAAATTATCTTCCAAATCTATATTTACATAATGTATTTTTTTATAATTAAGAACCGCATAGCCAACGCGATCGGGCAGATCCGTACAGCATGTCAGATCTACCAATCCCGGGTTACCCCAATTCCAGTCTCGAGCTCCAGATAGCACCCAACTCTCATTTAATATTACGCGACAAAAAACGTTTTTTTGGTATAACGCGCTAATCTCAGGAACTACTGGTATTCCTTAAATTGTTTTTGTTGAATACTTCATTTATCGAGAAGGTCCGCTATACTCGTGTAGAAAACATTTTTACAAAAGTCAAAAGTCAAAAATCATTTATTCATGCAGGTAACACAATGTACACGTCAAAAAAGAAATAAACATTAAATGATTCTAATTTTACATTTACTGCCAGTTCTCAAATCAAGGGTGTAGAACGGAAGAGAAGAACTGGCAATAAACTCTCTGCCACTCTTTTTAATCGCCAAGTTTTTTGTTAAACACATACACATAAATATTCTCATTACGCACAGAATAATACATTACATCATCTAGAAAGCTATTCTGTAAGCGTTCAAAATTTGCAATTACTTTTAAGAAGAAAGTCTCGAATAACCCGGGAGAGCAATTCATGGCGTCTACATAATCGCTTCGGCAAACAACAGGTCACGTCCGCTTGATAAAATCTACTAGTGACGTAAACAGAATGTCTGCTACAAACAATAAAATAGTCAAAGTAATATGTTATGAATATGTACTGAAAAAATTCATAAACGTTATTATTGTATTATATGCCCAATATTTAAGCCTCGACTTGTTTAAGCCATCGGGGAATATGCTTAAAAGAAGTATTAAGATATTCATAGCGCTTAAATCACCTGCATCATGAGCAAACTCCACGTACAAAGCCTCACGTACCAACCACACTTTTACACCATCACACAACACAGCTGAATTAGGTATTGCTTAGTTAAATGTATTGAATATTTTTTATTGATTTTTTTTGTTTATTGTTATATATATTTTATGTTAGCTGTAGGATTACGAAGTAAATAAATATAAAAAAATATCTTACGGTGTACGTGCAGGATCATCATAAGTATATGCTCTTTTATGTCATAAAATTATCATCAGATTTAGTCTTCCATTAATCGTAATTGCATATCTATTACATAAGTACCACAGTAAGCTTAAATTCTTCACCCTTAAGTAACTCAGTATCGCTATAAGTCCTGACTTACGCTACGAAGACTTTAATATTACTCTTGTTTTTATAATACTATGCGTCAGCTGGAGCTGGGTTTAATTTTCTTTTCGAGTATGTTCAAAACTATTACATTTGAGCAGGTGTTAAATCTTTACATTTATTTATACTTAGTCTGGCCGTAAATACTGTTACAACTAAAAATAAACTAAATATTACATTTGAATTCAGAATCTGTCGTTTTTATAGGATTGTTCATTAAGATTTTTCATTTTTGCGCCAATAGATTATACAATATTATGCGTTATTAAAAGAGAGTGGGGTGATAAAGAGAACCGAAGCGCTGTGATTGCATTACACAAAGTAGGTATGGGGCCAAATGCAACTTTTTAAAAATTGCAAATTAAAGATTTAAGTTGGCGCCAAAATATTTAAAATATATTTTAGTGTTCTTTTAATTTATTTTTAATTAATGTATATTATTAAAATTGTAGATAAGCAATCAGAAAATATTTTATCTATTAGAAATTATAAACAGAACTAGTATTGATATAATTAAAAATCATTGGTCATAGTAGTTTGGTTTTTCAGGCATTTCTCCTATTCGATCTGGACGGTGACGGGTGCATAGATCACAACGACCTACGTGGGACTTTTATCAGCTTAGGAGAAAATGTAGACGAACACGCCGTCAGCAACATGCTATCTGAGGTAGACATATGGTATTTCTGTATTGTTATAGACCAAAATCAAAAACCGTTTTTGGCATAAGCAATATCATGCTGGAATAAACTCAATTATCAAACCATACGCCAGACCACTGAGCCACATGGAAACTATACTGGTACAGTATAAATTGATGGCTATTAATAGTTACTCCTAGAAATATATACTTGCTTTATGACGCATACTTTTTTTAAAATATAACTGTATTTTATAGTTTACAAAATTGTAATTGCATCAAAAATGTCGCATTGGCTTATTATGTTGTCAAATTATAGAGCCAAAATTAAAGTCTGTAATGTCTTTTTCTCCTGTTATAATTAATCATTAGTATTAACCAGCAAGTGTTCATATTAATAGTGTGCGTTTATTTAGACATATAATTTGAATATTTCCAAGACAATTTATATTGTTTACTCCGATTCTAATAACTAAAAACTAAGAAAAAATAACCGTGTACATATTATATTTTAAAAAATACAAAATGCCAGACATCACTAAAAAATATTACAATAAATCTGTTTTATTTATACAAACCTTTACGCCAGTTGAGAGTAATTCTGTTCGTGTAAAAATATTTTTACGATTTGTTTAAGCAATTTTCTATCAAATTAAACAGAGCATTGTTTGCGTTCAATAAATTTATTGTCTGTTTGCGGTGTGTTTAAATAAACTTTTATACGTACAATGTAATTTATTAGCACTATCAAAACTAACATTTCGTTTAGAAATACACGTGTGTCTAATAATTGTACGTTATACATCGTATTTATTTATATGATTTTTGAAAGAAATCTGTATATCTAGATGACTTACGGGTTACACATTAAAATACTCGTTTAACAGTATCGTGTAGCTTAACGCAAAGCGAAACGCCGTTTCCAGAAGGGGTAGTCAGAGACCACGGGTCTCTACTTGCTACAATCCTGACATACCTCTCTCGTTTCATCCACTTTCTTGACATTCACCATTCATACTCGTCGTTTATAGGTACTTTTAAGCTGACCCTTCTCAAGTACATCCTGGATTTGGACATCACCTAAGTATTCACTTTCGCATCTTGTCACTACCTCCTCGTTTAATCCACGCTGTTCAATCTCTCAACCTGAAATATATGTGATTGTGTTATTTACGTAATATTTTTAACACTTATTCATTTTTATTTATCTTAAAAAGAAATTTTGAAATTATTTGTTTTTTTTTAGAAATTTTCGCTTGTACATTAAAAGTAATTTAATCGTATAATCCTTAAATAATTAATTAAAGTATTATGTTATTACAGGCCACAAATCCGTTGGACTTCGACGCATTCGTCAACCTTCTCGGATTCAAAACGCTTGAACTGGATTCAGAGGAAATTCTAGTGACTGCCCTGTCTCGATGGGACCCTGAAAACACTGGATACATACCAGAAGCAAGGTACGCTTAATAATTGTGAACTGTAATATTCATCTACCGCACCGTCGCTCGGTTCTGCTGACAACTATTATCCAAGTCGTGATATATCTTAATTAATAAATAATTTAAAGCGAGAAATTTTCAATATATATTTATATATTTCGTCGTCGTTCGGAATTTCTTAATTCGGTCGCCGCGCTCAAAGCTCGCGATAAAATCTATGCAATAGCTTAAAAATATTTTTACATTAGCGTCGAATTCGGTCCGCCATGCTCTATGGCCTAAAAACTCTACAGTGTATGGTCTATAGTTCATTGTTTCTGTGCTAACAGATCAAGATCATTATCAAAATGTCTCATGGTATAAATGTTTTACGATCCCCGGAGCAATTTACATAATTCTCACGGATGTAATGACAAGACTAATGTAAAGACATTTGTCGATCTTAGCAGCTTACGGCTGTAAAATGGAAGTCGACGTGCCATTTCCGAGATTGCTCTTCTATTGTATGTTAACGTTATCATAATATGAAAAAGGTCGGACGTTTTTCGATGTTTCCTCTGATTTTTGTGGTAATATTTTATATGAGCTGTGTTAATCCAGCGGTTAAACATGCGAATCTCAACTCTGGGATCGTGGGTTCGAATCCCAGCTGTGAAGTACTCGCTCGTATGATGAAGGGTTGTCCATAAATAAAAATGATTAATTCCAATTTAAATTGAAAAATCTGAGGTATTTACTTCTGTTGCATTCAATAAATTTCATGTTTTATTTATTGATAAAGTTTAGACTTGATTAGGAAACATTCTTTTTGTTTAATCAGAACTTTTCAACTTGATCACGCCAAGAAAATAAACTTGCAGACTAACTTAAAACCGGTCTGAACTTAAATAAAACTATAGTCCTTACTTAGTTCAACTTTATGCGATTGTTCCAAGGACAATTACAATTGTTTCGCTGCTTTAATTCAATAAGGAGCTATTTACTTTAACTTAAAGCGTTTTTCAAAAAGGTTTTATATAATATTATCCGTATTTACATGCCTTACGGTTCTTTAATAAAAGTAGTTATGAATGCTACATTTGAAGTAGTGATAGCGTATCATACAAACTAATTAAGGGCCTCTCGAATATTTTTGGTAGTCCTGCCTAAATGGTGTTTGTTTAATTTATTAGCACGCTTTAAATAATACATGAACCATTTATATGTAGCGAACCCTATACAAATATCAATCCGCGGGGTAATCGAACTCCGTGTGTACGCCAGCTCCTGTTGGATTCTCTAAATAAATAATGTTAATATTATTACGAGAAATAAATAATTTTGATGATTGCGCGGTGATGTTAACACATATGTATTTTCATTTTACAGAATTCGCCATGATTTAATGACGTGGGGTGACCGTTTTACGGAAAAAGAAGCGGACTACGCTTTGGATGAGGCCCCGATGATGTCGGACAAAAATGGCTATAACCTCATAGACTACAAACAATTCTGTAGAAAGCTCTGTGGGCTTAAGAAAACTAATAAACAAGTACTCGAAGTACAGAATTGACTCCCTACTAATACTATCGATATTACTGTGTATTTAAAACTTGTTTAATTGTACAACGTAATTGAAGACGTATTGAAGTCAGTAACACAATGATGTTACAGATATGATATTGTTCGCATATATTAAAGTATTTAAAGCTTATTGTGTAAATTGTTATTTTAAGTAAGAACCTTATAAATAATAAGAAATACAAATTGAAATAAAAATACCAATTTGACTTCTCACTACTACAACATAAAAATTTAGGATTCTGATAAAATCTCCAAATCCATTATTATTCTTATCAGAACAATAAAAGTTACACAAAATAATTAAAGACAAACTTCTTACAATAATTGTTATCAAACAGAATAGAATGATTGCATTAATTTTAAGAAATGGATTTTCAATTTCCCCAAGAATCTTCCTTTAACAATCTCCTAAACTTGACTTAAATAATCAAAAGTTCAGCTTTTACGGTTCGAGTAATTTGTCGTCGAAAACCTCTTCATCAATTAGTGATAATTGGCTTGTAAAACAAAACTGTTATTATTATTAACATTTAATAGTCTCTTATTATATTGGTATACGTTTTGTATCTGGTATTTTATTTTTTGATCGAAGTAAGTGTAAGTACGATTTAGAACAAGCTTTCATCTCATCGCAATCAGTGATAAACCTATTAAACCAACTTACAACAAAATTGCTTTCCGCGGTATGTTTTTAGTACCTTTTACTATTACGGTTAAAGTGTTGCGTAATACATACATAATATGCAAACAGCATATCTATGTGCTATAATAAAATAATTCAAAAGTGAACAAAATATTGACATGAGTCTTAAACCGATTAGCGAAGTCTAAATATGTTTTCATATTAATGTACCCAACTTGAAATATTGCTTTTTTTGTTTCGTACTTATTGTACAATCAGCATTGCGAAAATATGGATTTTGTAACATTTTCTGTTAAGGTTTTATGTATGTAAGTAGTGTGGACTCGATTTCCCTACTTAGACGATCATTTGGTCCATTGTGCGTAAAGTCCTGGCTAATTAAGCCAGCCTAGCTCCTTCGAAAAGCTCAGAAGTTTCCTTGGCACTTCGCAGGCTTCACGGAGCGACCTCACTGCTTTGATGATTTCTGAACAGCCGCGCATATTAGGACTACATTGGTGACTGATTCATCTGCGCTGAAACAGCCTCTGCACAAGGGACTCTCTGTCAGGCCCAGGACAAAGAGATGTTTATTAAGAAGACAGTGGCCCGTAATTGTTGCTATCCATTTGGACACTTTGCAGTCTGCGTTTAGCTACCATCGGTGACGTTGGAGTTCTGTGGATCTTTGGCAAATTTCGCTCGCCAAGTTCGCTCTTGAGAGCAGGGCAAGGGAAGGAGCGGGTATTGGCCATCCAGCATCATTCCGGAACTTCTCGTTGCAAGAACGTCGACAGCATAATTGCCGGGAGATCCACTGTAGGGTACCTACCTACCCTGTTTGTCAGGTTTATTGCCTCCAGCGCATGGTGACACTCCAGTATTAGCACAGGCGTACTGTCAGATAGGAATTTGATACAGGAGTTATTTTCTAACCGCTGTACGGTTCTGGCTGCTTCGGTTAGAGCGAAACACTCACATTGAAAAATCGAGCTGTGTAGCCTAAAGTTAAGATCAAGACAGAATATGACAATAACAATATATTAAGGTTTTATAGTATTTCCAAAAATAGTCCTAAATTAATAATAATTTATTGGACTTCGGCAAAATCTCTGAGGAAAACTTTATGAACTCTTTATTAAGAGAGAAAATCCTTGTTAAAATTTTTCCGGACAAAGTTTCTTTGCAGACAAGGAATAAAAATTCCTTTTCTCTTACGAGTTTTAATAAATAACTAACTCTTGCAAAGGGGCTCTATTATGAGAACAGGTAATGAAATAATTGGGGCATTCGACAGACATCAATTAAATCTTTAAAAAAGACATTTACCTTCTACGATTTTACTTAAAATAAACTAGTTTAAATTATAGCGAATAATCTACAAAAATAATACGCAACTTTAGTCTTATCTATATACCTACCTATATATACGTATATATATATATGTATCAAATAACTAAAATAGTATTTCTTTGTATTTTCAACAAATTACTTTATTATTTCGGCTAAAATAAAGCTAAATATAACTACTAATTTCTTTATTCAATTAAACTTTACACTAAAAGCTATATCAATTTAAATTCAAATGTGGAATATGTTCATGTTTAATATGACGATAAAATTTCAAGTATAATAATTGTTTTAGAGCGCATTTATTTTTATTAGATCATTTACGCCGCACGCATTTCGGTAGCGACGATTTACATAAAATAAATTCCTTAAACAATATATGTAGGTAACGCCGAGTTCTATATAAAAAAACACTACTTATAATTGCTACTACTTATAACTGCTAAATTGAATAAACGTATTTTGATTTGATTTGATTTGATTGAATCGTAAATTTTGAAAAGATCGACTTTGATGACTTCAGGTTTAGAATTCTGGTCACAATTAAGTAGGTAATTATTAAACTATCAATACTATGTATTAAAACATATATGTTTGAAAGATGTTCAGAAAAAATAGGATAATAAGGTATCTTAGTAGAGGTTTGACACAAAAACATCTTACGTTTCACTATTGATAAATCGAGTTTATGTGTGATAGTTTGATTAATGCTGTTTTGCCAACCCAATAGTTATAGCGATAAACAATTAAACGCATTATTACTTTGAATTGGTTATTTATTAATAAAAGCCTTGAGTAGTTATTGTAGTCTTGAATATTTCCATCCAATAGAGTAAAAAATTACAGATAAATATCAAAATGTTTCTTGGCGGATCCCTTATTATCATTACCTGTTGGTTACAGGTTGCTTGAACTAGAAACTGAAACTTAACTCGTTAGCTCGCCTTGTGATTTAGATATAATTTAATTGAGCAATTAACCTCTAAGCCCAAATGTACTTGAGCAACATTTTATGAGTACATAATTTTGTATCCCACATATTATACATAATACTGATTATATGGCGTTATAAATATATCTCATTTCATAATATTTATATTACGAACGTCAAAATGGTTTTGAACGGCATACACAGAATATCCAAATGAATGAATTGTCGAAGTTGAGAGTACTTTTTTACCAGGCGGCGCAATTGCTATAGTCTATGGCATAGTAGAATAATACCTATCTGTGGCAGTGACCGATTTGTACTTATTTTATGAGAATAGATAACATATGAAATTGTATATAACTAATAATTATTATAACGAGTGATTCTATTAGACACTTCTGTTTTATAAACTATAGTTTTTCTATAACTTAAGTTCCTTAAACTACTGGTTTATTTGAACATAGTTTTAATTTTTTTATAATTAAAATAAAGCCTCCTCTTGTGAGTGACTTGGGTGCCTAATTTGTTTAGAGATATGTAACCTTTAATTTTTATTTAATTAATCAATATTTTGTATAAGTTATATAAAGCAATAGTTACTCGTGTGCGTTGTTGCTTAAGTGTTAACATTTCAGACGTATTATCTATTTTGTAGCGTGTGGTATTCCAATTTAGTATAAGTAAATTAAGGTACAACCTAAATTAGTATACTGTGCTATTTAATATATCAATACACAGTACTTGTAACATTTTAATTATTCAAATGACTATCCTTATACACTGGGATATAATAAATGATAGAAGAATATTTAAATAGACAATCCTTTACAGTTATAGAAAAATGCGCTGTATTGTCAACTGTCAATTTATAAAAAAAAAAAAAGCAGAAAAACAAAAAACATGACAGTCGCGTAGATTACAAAGTAAACATCGAAACCATCATTCTTCAGCATTCTCCAAGCAATATTAATTGCACAGATTATAATACAACGTCGCGAAGATAAATCCTCTTTTATTAGAATCCGTAATCTACAGCCATTTCGTCTTCGTTATCTAAATAATTTAGTGTGAAATATGACTGGCTAAACTTTTAGTGGAAAACCAAATTAGTTTGATTAATTTTCATATCAAGACTTAAAAAGATTAGCTAAAACAAAGATTTAGTAGATTCTCAAGGTAAAACCTATTTAATTTTAATGCTCTGCGAACGTTGTACTTTTACATTTAACATTTTCGTACTACAGAGTACGCCATGCAACTTTTATTTACCATGTCCAAAACAATTACTGTCTTAGTTTGTTTCATAAAAGATTAATGGTCACAATATCAAGTATGAAAATTTATTATATCAGAGAAATCTCTTGGATTATTCATGGTCTTTCATTTTAAAGTAATATAATATCATGTTTAGATTCAACCTGCATATTGGTTTGTGTATATGAGAAAGATTATTAAGTAACTATACATCATATGTCATTCCTCGAAACGACACTTTAGGTCCTAATTTATTCGTAGCTGGTAGAACGTTGGAACGAGTGCGGCAATACAAGTATTTGGAAACTTGGGTTACAAACGAGAGAAATCCTGATCAGTAAATTAGGTCTCGAATCGAAATTGCCCGAGGATCTTTCAACAAAATGAAGAAAGTTTTGAGCTGCCGTCACATGACCATTAAACTCCGAGTCCGACTTCTCCTTTGTTACATATGGCCAATTGTTCTGTACGGCTGTGACGCTTGGACAATTAAATAAGATACCCGCCGGCGCTTAGAAGCATTTGAGATGTGGTGCTATCGTCGCATGCTTCGAATAAGCTGGATCCAGAAGGTTCTGAAACGAGTTGGAATGTCGAAAAAACTTTTGCAGCAAACATTAAACAACGGAAAGTTGCGTACCTAGGCCACGTGTTGTGCCATGACCGCTACCACCTCCTTCAATTAATTATAATGGGTAAAATCCAGGGTAAACGGCGTGTTGATAGAAGGAAGAAATCATGGCTTCGCAACGTTAGATAATGGACAGGTATTGCCGCTGCGGAAGAGTTGCTGCATCTGGCACAGGACAAGACACGCTTCAAGATACTGACG